AGCCAGCCCTAACTATAAACCTGAGCCAGCCCTAACTATAAACCTGATCCAGCCCTAACCATAAACCTGAACCAGCCCTAACCATAAACCTGAACCAGCCCTAACTATAAACCTGAACCAGCCCTAACTATAAACCTGATCCAGCCCTAACTATAAACCTGAGCCTGAACCGTTCGGGCTTTGTAGGTGAGGAGAAGGATTTTAAATTCTATTCTAGATTTTATAGGGAGTCAGTACAGAGAAGCTAATACAGGAGTAATATGATCTCTTTTCTTAGTTCTTGTTCGTACATGTGCTGCAGCATTCTGAATCAGCTGGAGAGATTTAAGAGACTTATTAGAGCAGCCTGGTGTGATTAACACAGAGACGGGTTATTACTGGCCACTCATTAATAAATATTTGTAATTAGAGAATACATACTTTTGGATCCTTCACTGTTTTAATGCCCAGAAATGTCTTAATCTCTAATAGAACATAAGACAAGAACGTTGTGATCAATGGACACAACCACATTAGTTGACAATAGATGATCTGAGGGAATTACCCACAATCCACAGCGTTGTGACATGGGGTTTCCAAATGACGACACATGGGTGTCCAGCCTGGCATTTTTACAGAAACATTTACATTAAGGATTATAGATGGTACATAAAAACAGATGAAACCAGGGGAATAAACCCCATTACCAGGTGAACTCAGTCCCTGAGGGTTCAGGGTTCAAGTCCTGGGGGAGGGGCCTAAGTGTTGAGCATGTGTTGAGTGATGCCCTTCACAAGCCTGTGCTCGCCGGACTGCATTTTTGTGCAACCGGAGCCCACATGCTCCCTCGCGAGGAAACCTCTCAGCTCGCTGTGTGCTCTCTCATATCAGTATTCTTTAAAAACAGAATGAGGTGAGAGAGGAGGAGGCTGGTGGGGAGGGAGAAACCACTGAGCCAGTACTAAGACTGACATAACTTCAGTAAAAGTACTAATACGTAGATTTAAAAAACACTGCTACAAGTTAAAGTCCCACTTTCAAAATCTTACCGAAGTAAAACTATCTAAGAAATTGTTCTTGACGTACATTGGTAAAAGTACTCACTATGCAGCCAAATGGGTTTTTCAGTTGTTACATTCATTTATAATACATTATATTATTATGCTTATTTATGCAGTAACATGTAAGACACATTTTAAAGTTGCAGCTGGCTGCACTAACATGTTTTACTGTGTTGGGTGGTTTAAATTACTGTTGATCAATGTCTTGTATTACACATACTCATTATATATAATGCAGTGAAATAAAAAGTACAATATTTCCCTCTGAAATGTAGTGGAGTAGAAAGTCGCATCAAATATGTACTTAAGTAAGTACAACAAAATGTACTTTTTAAAAAAAGTGAATGAGTGTAAGAGTTGGACCTCAGTGTCACTGTGTGCACGTGATGTACAGTTAATATCAGTTGTGTTATGAGTTGAGTTTTGTTTATTTGTGCCATGTTCACTGTTTATTTCTTTCTTTTCTTTGAATATAAAACCTCTTTTGTTACATCTACACCAAGTTTCTCGCGTTGTCTCCTTCCAGACATTCTGACCAGGCGGATTAAATGTCAGTGACATTCTGTGAACAGATAAAACTCACTAAAGAGACGAAACACATGTGCTATCTTACACTGAGGACATCTGGTTCTTACTGCAGGACAGTAGGCTTCAGTTCGTACATATATCTGCTCTTGTCGCTTCATATCGGCCTTGATCTTATCATGACCGAGATGAGTCCCTGCTGAAAAAGCTTTGACTCATCTCTGAAGTAATAACCGCAAGTTCCAGTCCTCCGTACAAGTGTGTGTGCCGTGTCGCAGTAACAAGAGAGGAACAATGTGGGAGTGGCCCGTGCGGCCTGATAAACCAATCGGGCGACCTGATGAACCGGTCGCTGGAGACTCAGTAGAAATCAGCAGGGAGCCGTGTCTCAAGCTGTAGAGTTACTTTCAGAGAGTCCTGGAGGATGGAGCTGCCACTGTTGGTGCTCGTCCTGGTGTCGACGTGCGGAGGACAGGATTGGACCACTCCGACCTTTTGCAGAGGCCAGTGCCCTCAGTTCACAGTAGTTGAGACGCACCAGGTAGGTTTCAGGGCAGTTCACACACACACACACACTCATTCAGCATCGATATGCTCTTTTTCTAGAATACATGTTGAAAAATGTTTCTGTTTGTAGGATTTTGAGGAGCGTTTGTACGTTCCTGCTGAATGGATTACCACCAAGATGGGAGGATCTGGGATTGCTGATTTATTAGCTGCAAGATCAAGACTGGCGAAGGCCACAAGTATGTCAGGGTGAAAACAAAAGTCTCACTGACACATTTTGGTTTTGTGACGCTAACAGCTTATTTGATATGCCAGTGTAATTCATGCGCTGCAGTTTAATGGGATATCCCCATATTTAAATGGGTCAGAAAATAGCAGCTTTATAAGGTTCATCAAAATATTTAATCCTTTTATTGAACTTCAAAGCAGCAGGTGAGACATTTCACTGCGTAGTGATTCCCAAGCTAATGGATGACCATCTGACATTGACACAGCCTATGCAAAGAACAGTGAGAACAAAAGTGCTAGTTTTACTTCCATTTGTCCCTGCAAGGCAAGCTTTGCAAATCAAACCAAGAATAAGTAAATGGGCGAGGTTATTAAAGGAAAAACAAAATGGCGTAAAATGGAATTACTAGAAAGTGAAAGTTTTGTTCTGGTGTCCATGTAGGTGTTTGTTCTCCAGGTGTCACATTTGTTTTAGCTTCTACCTCCCAGAAATGTAGAAATGTCATACTGGATTTGCCTCCAAGAAGTATTAGAATTTGTGGCTCATTGAATGTTTTTTTTTATGTGAACATTGTTGCATTTGGTCAGAGCAAGTGACGTAGTATAAGGAGCATCCATTATTAAAAGTTATTTGGGTGTGTGAAACAAACAGGATATTCACCCAGGAGACCATTGTCCATGTCCAATGTAAAATCAAAAGTAAACGTAGAGTTTACACTTGTTACGTTCAGTTATTATGCTTGTAACATCATGTTATTTAAGAAAGTCAGCTAAGGTTATTATGTATTTACGCTAGTTACCATTTTATGTTGCGTTACGTTGTTGCGTTACTATGTTAATATTTGAACACAAAACACAATCTTTTTTTCTAACCTTAACCAAGTAGTTTTGGTTCCTATGTAGCAGTTGTGTACTCTCTTGTTTGCGTTGTGTTTAATTCAGGCACACTTGATGTCTTTATGGCTCCAACCAGACGTTTATTCATAGCACAGCATATAGCTAGATAGCTCATCTGGTAACAAACAGAACGGTTTCAGTTATTCTCACAGCCCACCTCGTGGTTACAAGCTCCGGAACACTGTCGAAGTAAAGAGACAAATGCAACGGAGA